GAAGTGTGTTTTGTTTTGTTTTATTTTTCACCACCAAATCGAACCATATTAATGACATTAATTGGGAAATTACTTCTTTCATTTGTAAAATATTGTCACCATCCTATAAGTCAGCAGCTTTAAAAAAATAACCTTGAAATTCTTATGGTACTCCTATATGATTATAATTTTGTTTAAATATGATTATATGCTATTGTACATAGCATAACAGAGCAAAACAGTTATTTTTAATTCTTCTGGCCTTTGTTCTCTTCATTCAGTTTTCCCATATTCCTACACCCACATCATGAACCACTATATACAGATATCATAGTATGTAGCCTATATATATATATAAATGCTCTCTCTCTATATATAAATACTTTCACAATACATACATTTATATTTGTATGAACTTATATATAAATATACATACTTATAAATACACACAAATACACACTTACACACCTCATGCATACCCCATACATAAATATAGCTATATAGATCTATTTATTTAATTTATAGAGATTTGTTTCTTTCTTTTACAGAATAATGAATATCCCTGATAGCATCTTGTTTTTCTAAGTACAATAGAAAGTTGAAATCATTCCCAGTCAAATGTTATAGTGCTAGCTCACTGGATTTAATGGATACACTAACAATTCATCATGTTAACGTGCCATAATGTCTTCACATTTAATTATTGGTGGATCATGTACATTTTAATTTTTGCCAATTTAATAGTGAAATTTCAAAATCTCATTTTCTTACATTTATTTGGGCATATTGTGCATTTATCATTTTTTATAATTTTAATTTTTCTCAGTTTTATTGAAATATAATTGACATGCAACACTGTATAAGTTTAAGGTTTACAGCATAATGACTTGTATATTGTGAATACAATACTTGTATATTGTGTATATAAACTAACAGTATGTTTAGTTAATATCCATCATCTAATATATACACAAAAAAGTGCTTTTTCCTTGTGACAAGAACTCTTAGGATTTACTCTCCTAACAACTTTCAGATAAATCTACCATAGAGTAGTTTTAACTATCATCATTCTATCGTACATTACATCTGTGTACTTATTTATCTTATAACGAGAAGCTCGTACCTTTTGACCACCTTCATCCAATTCCCCAATCCCTCATCCCCTTCCTCCAGAAACCCCAAAGTTGCATCTCTTTTTCTATGAGTTTGTTTTGTTTTGTCTCAGCTTTCAGTTAGCTTTGTTTTTATTCCACATGTAAGTGAGATCATATATTATTGGCCTTTCTCTGTGTAACTTATTTCACATAGCCATAATGCCCTCAAGGTCTATCCATGTTGTCACAATTGGCAGGACTGCCTTCTTTTTATGGCTGAATAAAATCCCATTGTTTATTTATACCACAATTTCTTTATCCATGTATCCATTAGTGGAAATTTAGGTTGTTTCCATGGCTTGCCTTCTGTGGATAATGCTGCTACAAACATAGGGTACAGATATCTCATAATATGGTGCTTTCATTTCCTTCAGATATATTCCCAAAAGTGAAATTGCTGGATCATATGACAGATCTGTTTTTAATTTTTTGAAGAAACTTAATACTCTTTTCCTTAGGAACTGTACCAGTTCACCATCCCACCAGTAGTACACAAGTGTCCACTTTTCTTCACATTCTTGCCACCATTTGTCATCTCTCTTCTCTTTTTGATGATGGTCATTTGAACAGGCTAATTAAATGGTTAGTTATTTTGACCACATTTTTATGTACCTATAGGCCATTCATATATCTTTTTAGGAAAAATGTCTTCAGGTGGTTTTTTTTTGCTCATTTTTAATTGGATTATTTTTTGTTTGTTTTTTGATATTGGGTTTTTCATACATTTTGGATATTAACCTCTTATCAGATATATGATTCACAATTTTTCGCATTTCATAGATTGCCTTCTCACTTTGTTGTTGACCGTTTCTTTGATGTACAGAAGCTTTTTGATTTGATGTATCCCATTTGTTCATTTTTTTAATTTTGTTGCTTGTGCTGTAGATGTCATGTCCAGTTAATTCATTGCCAACACTCATGTCAAGAAGTTTTTTTCCTATGTTTTACTTCTAGTGCTTGTATAGTTACCAGTCTTATATTTAAGACTCTAATCCCATTTTGAGTTAGTTTTTATGAGTAGGGTGAGATAGGGGTCTAGATTCATTCTTTTCATGTTAATATTCAATTTTTCTACTACCATTAATTGAAAAGACTGTCTTTTCTCCATTGGGTTTCATGGCTCTCTTGTCACGTACTAATTTACCATATATGCATGAGTTTGTTCCTGAGCTTTCCATTCTGTTCCATTGGTCTGTGTGTCTGTTTTCATGCCAGTAGCATACCGTTTTGATTACTATGGCTTTATAATATAGCTTGCAATCAGAAGTATGGTGCCTCCTGCTTTGTCCATCATTCTCAAAATTGCTATGGCTATTAAGGCCCTTTTGTGCTTCCATATAGAGTGTTTTGTTTTTTCCTACTTCTGTTAAAAAATGCCTTTGGGATCTTGAACGGGAGTGCATTAAATCTATAGGTGGCTTTGGATATGGATATTTATGTTTTTTCACTGAAAATTTCTTCTTCTTGACTAATGTTTGTTTTACTATGGGGGTATTAACCTTTTTATTGATTATTAAATATTTTCTTTATACTAAATCCTAATCCTTTGCTTGCTATATATTTATATGTATTTCCTTCCAATTTTCTATTTTATCTTTTAGTTTACATTATGGAGATTATAGTTTTGAAGGAGAAATGTTAATTATGATGTAGAGTTTCCATAAACATTTAAGTTTATCCAGCATTCACATAAAATGTATATGGTAGGATCAATTGCCTTCTCTGCTGTGTTTAAGAAAGTCTTAGGAAATAAAAACAATTATGTGAAGTTTATTTTATATAATAATGTACTCTTCATAGCTGCAAGTTTGGGTCTAAACATGTATGTTAAACCACATTCATATGTATTCGATTTATAGTCAGAATTTTGTCAATGCTCCATTTTCATATTTATTAGTCATGGTACATGGAACAGTATGAACTCCATATAACATTATTTATAGATCAGCTCTTACTACTACTTTCACATTTTGAATATGTAACTGTTGCAGTCAAGACATTTTAGGATTTTAGAGGTTATGATTGAAAGAAACTGATTAGAGATTTTAAGAGTACAAAGAAAATATTTTATTGTTTGATCTATGTTAATATATATCTTTTCTTGAAAGTTTAGTATTAATTAGAAAAATAAGATGAAATAGTGCTGTAATAGAAATGAATAGTATGAAAATTAAAACTAATACACAAATTAAAATTACTACTAAACATTTTAAGTGTCACTATTTCAATAATAAAAAATTTATTAAAACTTTGAAGGAAAAAAATCACAGACATTGTTTTTAGGTTTTTACTTCTGAGTTAAATATCATTGGAAATTTGAAGAATGTACTTCTGGCCATTTTATTCATCTGAAAAACTCATTAAGCAATGTTTTATTTACATATTATTGTTGTTTTTAGGTCTTTAATTTGTAACTAATATTTTTTTTTTCAAATTTATTTCTGAGAGAGAGAGCAAGTGTGCAGGGGAGGGTCAGAGAAAGAGGGAGATATAGAATCCGTAACAGGCTCTAGGCTCTGAGCAGCCAGCACAGAACCCAATGTGAGGCTCGAACCCACGAACCGTGAGATCATGACCTGAGCCGAAGTCGGGCGCTTAACTGACTGAGCCACCCAGGTGCCCCTGTAACTAATATTTTAGACTTAGTACTTTGCAGCTATTATTGCTGAAGTCTAAAATAATACTTCGCCTGAAAGTTTGCAGGATATATGAAATTTGAGTTCAATTGATTGATCTATCCATCCATCCATCCATCCACCCTGTCCATCCACATAGGTCTTCCTTAAGTTACCATAGGGTTACATACTGGTAAACCCGTTGTAATTTGAAAATATCACAAGTGAAAATGCATTGGCTACACCTAACCTACTGAACATCGTAGCCTAGCTTAGCCTACCTTAAACATTCTCAGAACACTTATATTAGCCTATATTTGGGCAAAATCATCTAAAACAAAGCCTATTTTATAACAAAATGTTGAGTATCTCATGTAATTTATCGAATACCATACTGAAAGTGAGAAACAGGATTGTATGGGTATAGAATGGTTGTTAGTATATAGACTGTTCACACTCGTGATCATGTGGCTGACTGGGAGCTGCAGCTCACTGCCACTGTCCAGCATCACCAGAGAGTACTATCATTGTTAGCCTTGGAAAAGATCAAAACTCAAAATTCAAAGTACAGTTTCTAATTGCATGTTGCTTTCACATAGTGTTAAAGTCAAAATATCCTAAGTTGAACCATCATAAGTTGGGGACTGTTGTATATGCATATCACTCTTAGTAAATGTAGGAAAATGGATAGCTAGTTTTACCATTATCATACAGCTAAGAGGAACTGCAATTGAAACACCTGGTTTAGTACTAATTAATACAGCAGTCTTTTCCTTATAGAGTTCACATTTAAGTTATTTACAAAATTTACACATGAAGAATATTTATCCGAAATCTTTTCAGGATTAGTTACATAACCAAAGGATGCTACATAATTATCACTAATATTACAAAACATATTTAACATTTACTGCTGCTGCTTCTGTGCCAGTTTTATTTAATTCTTCCAACAACCATGTGTGGCAAGTACCCATATGTTACCCATCTTACAAATGAGGCTCTTCGTGTTTGGAGAAATTGTCACCTCTCTCAGTGAGGAATACCCAAGGTCCTTCTTATGTAAAACTCTTATTTTTACTCACTAAACTTTACACTGACCTTATCAATATGCACATTTTTTTAAAGCTGATATAAAATAATTTATTTAAAAATTATTTAAGAATTGAAATGATAAGCAGATAATGTCAATGCAAATAACTGTATTTAATACCTCTTAAAAGTAACCATGATGCCACACACTGCCTTTGAGGCCCTTCTGCCTTGGAGCTTGGCGCCTGCGCGTGGTGCCAGGGTCAGGGTGCAACGCCAGAGCAAGCGCTTCCTTATAATTGTGGCCGCCGGTCCTCCGCCGCCGTGGGCCTTTAAAACCACGAGCAACACGGGCGGCACCAGGCTGCGGAGGGCGGGGAAAGTAACCAAGATGCCCTCTTGGGTAAGTTTGACAACTTATTTATTTCTTCTCATCCTTAGTCTGTGCCAACCCTGAAAAATTTTAGTTCCATCAAGTAACACAATTCATCATAAAGGCAATTAAAAAACAAAAATAAACCACTTCGCTAAACAAATTTCTTCCTTAACATAGATGACCGAAATAAAGATAGGTATATCTTATAGATGTGCAATCTGTGGGCAAAGGTTTAAAAAATAGTGTCATTATTAAACAGTGACATTGGGACCAAACTTTTGTTATATAAATACGTAAATTTATCATTACTTGACTTTCTGGTTGTAGGTTTTTCAACTTTTTGTGGCTTTAAGCTCACAGCTATACATTTATTTTCCTAAAATCTTCATCCACATAAATTTAGTTGTATGCCGTATGTGTACTTTAATATTAATGGCAAATGATATTAGGTTTATTTGAGCTGTTTTTTAAAGAACTTTGCAATTTTTCTTAATGTAATTCAGAAAAGTCTATAAAGCTTTTTTGAAAACACCCACACTTCTGTACCCTAGTACATATTTTTTCCCCGAATTTAGTATAGTCAAGTTAATAGAGAAAAATTATCACTTTTGGGTTCTATATCCCCCAGATTTTAATTAACTCATTTTGCATATCAGATATTTCCCCATACAATTATATAAGATGATGTTTTCTATTAATAGATCCTCATGACACAATATATATTACACATGTGTTGTTATATGTGTTAAAAAGTTAAGAATATTTAATTTTTTTTTAAATTCTAGGATGGATCTTGAATTTTAGCCTTTTTTTTTTTTACTGCTAGTTGAAGGAACTGAGACTCCCCAAGGTTAATTGATTTGCCCAAGATCACATATATCATAAATGGTGAATCCTGGCTTGGAATGCTTGTATTAAAAAAAAAAGTAAAGTATATAATTGTTTAGTTTTCACAAATGATGCTAATTATATCAAATCCAATGTGTCACTAAAATAAAAACCATCATTCAAACACTCTAGCTAGAAAAAAAATCATTTCTTTTTCCTAACATGCCGTTTTCATTCATTGTACACTGTATAAATGTTGTACAAAATCAAATTAACTACTATCAATATTTTATGTACAGTAATGTATTTTAATCAACATGTATTTTACTTCCTTTTTTTTACTAATAACACTAAGATATATATTTTGAACTTACAAGGTGTCTTGATTCTTAAATTCCTAAAAGTGGAATCTTAAGGCTGAAATCCTGTATGAATCCTATGTTGAAATTGTGAAATAAAATAAAATGAATTTACTTCACAGTTTTTCCCAATTTATAGTCCAGTTTCTGAAAATTTATTATTTTCCTGAGATTTTTAAGTATTGATATTGATTTGATATTGATTTTCTATGAAACTAAATTTTAAGGGATTATTATAGTTTTTAAATTGCATCTTGTTTTCTATTCCAATGTTTTCTTTCTTTATAAACATTATTATATTGAATTGTCACATTTCTCTAGATTTTCATAACATGTTAAGGTAAATACAGTTTTTTTCAATCTTTGCATATCCAATTTATTTTTCATAAAACACTGGACACATTTTTGCAAGTTTCCTCCAAAAAATTCTATTAAAATTTGGATTAGAATTACCATTTAGCAAGTTTGTAGTTCTGCCTCTTTAAAAACAGAATTTTATATTTCCATTTATACTGTATTATCTCCCTAATTCAATGTTATTTCTGTACATATTTCTATAGATTTTTTATTAAATTTATTTTGAGAAATTTGATTTCTTCATATATTTGTGGACAATTGGAATTATTATTTGCATATTACATTTTATAATTGACATTGACTGACAAATAAGAAAATAATTGTTTTTCAAATACATGTTTTACTGTCATAAAGAGCTCTAATTTTTTAAGGTTTCTTCTCTGTTTTTAGTTTAATAAAAATGTTATTTTCTAATGATGTTAATTTGTCCTCATCTCCAGTGTTTATGTTTTTTGTTGCTTTTGTGTTCATCTTGAGTTACTTTAATAGCTTTCTGTAAAGTAATATAAAAGTATATTTTTTTTCTTTTTCCTGGTTTTGATGGATTCAGCATAATGATGATTTATGTCGCTTTTTAAATAACATTTAATTTTTTTAAAATTCTAGAATGGATCTTGAATTTCAGCCTGTACATTTTAGACGTTTTTGAGATAATTATAGTTTTATTCCCTGACCTATTGAGGAATGTATAAATAGTCCTTGAATTACAGGAATTTTTAAAAATTCACTTTGGATCATATTTTAATATATAATTAAATTTATATGCTATTGGTTTAAGAACTTTGACTTTAATATTAAAAAATAAACTCTATATCATTTGTTTAGTTATTTTTATAAGGCTTTGACATTAGGTGTATAAAATCTTCATTAGTAATAGAAAGCTTTCCTACATAGATTTAGAATATTATAATAACTGTTGCCAATATATTTCTGAGATATGATTGGCACCTTTCTTCATTTTTTCCATTGTTATTGGTTTATTTAGTTTTTTTTGAGTCAGTTTTGATGATTCATAGTTTCTAAAAATATATCCATTAGAAACTATTTGCAAATATATTAGCATAGTTTACCTGTCCAAATAGGAGAAATGTGCATTGTTATATTTTATAAACATATATATGTAATTTTTTTTTCTTTCAGCCACTATTTATGGTGAAAAACAATTGTAAGCCTTCTCTGAAGGTCTGGATGTACTTGTCATCTTCAGTTACTATCCAACCAAATTAGGTCTACTATTTACTTCTTCCATAATATTCTTAATAACTAAAGACTATCAGCACTTCCATATTTAGACCATATCATCATAGATTTAGATATAAGCAACAGTAAGTACTAACCCAGCAACAAAGACAAGATAGGTCAGAGTAGTTACTAGCTCAATTATGTTTTAACTTGGAATTTTAAATTTCGATTAATCCTATCTCTTTCATAAGACAACTGAAAAAGAGAAAGAAGGTCACCTGCTTTTCAAATACCTTTTTTTTGAGCTATAAAACTGCAGTCAGTTCTTGCTCCCTAAATACAGCCAGCTACAGGGTAGATGGGTGGCTCACTCAGTTAAGCGTCCAACCCTTGATCAAACCTCAGGTCTTGATCTCAGGGTTGTAAGTTCAAACCCTGCGTTGGGCTCCATGCTGGGTGTGGAGCCTACTTAAAATATATGCAGATATATTTGTGGGAAGAACCTAAGGTGAAAGCATTGTTGTATAATTGGAAAAATCATGCTTAGAAACAGCCTTGCACTTGTAATGTAGTTGAGCAAATTTTTCTATTTCTCTTCTTCTGATACACAAATTCAATAATTGTTGGATTTAATTGTATACTCTCCTTTCTGATTGATTTTGCCAGTTTATATTTGCCGGTGCTTTTCTTAAGGTTGTTCTCCACATCATGGGTTCAGTTTTCAGTATTGTTGATTCTTTATTTGACTACTTCTAATAATATTTAAATTTTATGATGACATGATTTTTTTCTTCAAAATATTTTCTTAGATCCTCAAGCTTTGTTTTTATTCAGTCTGTTTTATTTTATTTTTTTGAAAGAATTTCTCTTTTTGGCAAGTGCCCTGTGCTTATTATCTAAAATTTTATATTATTGTTTAATAAATTCTTCATCTATATATGTCACACTGTATTTATTTTCTTCTTTCCTTTGCAGAATATTTTTTTTGCAAAATTAGCTTATAGGTGATTTTTATTTATTTATTCATCCTTAAATGGGCGGCTGAATGAAGCTTTCATATTTTTTTAAAGATTTCTTTTTTTATGTTTTTTAAAATTTATTTTTGAGAGGGATGGGGCAGAGAAAGAAGGAGACAGAGGATCTGAAGCAGACTCTGCACTGACAGCAGAGAGCCCGATGCAGGTCTCAAAATCACAAACCCTGAGATCGTGACCAAAGTCAGACACTTAACTGACTGAGCCACCCAGGTTCTCCATTGTACTTTTTAATCCTTAAAAAATCTTTTAAAGTACTATACAGAACTGGGCAGCATAGGTGTGGTAAAGAGGCACTCTCTGCTTTGTGCCATTATTTAATATTTTACAGTAACATTTCTATTTAGTTCTTAGTTCCACTTACATGTATCTTGGTTTGAAATAACACCTCCACTATATACGGAATAAGCCTAACTTGTTCATCTCCACTTTCTCATCCACAATTCATTATCTAACACCATACCTTCCTTCTGATTTTTATGTCCACCATGCCTTGTCTCTGATACCAATGACAGCCATGGTCCATTAGTCAAGCCTAATGGACAATTCTTACCTCTTATTTGCTTTAAGCATGCAGCATTTGACCACTATTTTCTTCTTGAAACAGTCTCATCACTTATCTTCATTTCTCTTGCCTCTTCTCCTATCTTAATAATCAGTCTCCTTTCCTAGCTATTACATAATGGAGTACCTTGAGATTGCTCCGTATTATTTTTCTCTTCTTTAGCTTTAACTACTTCTCAGATGATGTCCTCCAAACCTTTAGTTTTAAATATACTGTATATGCTATAGACTCCCAAATTTATATTTTAAGTTTTGACATATGTAAGTACCAGACTTGTATATTCAAATTACCTACTTGATATCTTTTCATAAACTTTTCAAACTTAATTTTCCAAAAGAAAATCTTGTATTTTGTTCCTTATTTCATTTATCTTCTTCCTTCAGACTCCCTATCTCAGAAGTTTTATTGTTTCTTAAGAAACAATTATCCACTCAATTTTTCAAACTAGAACTTGAGGACTCTCATCTATATTATTTCTCAAATCTACACTCAGCAGCCAGAATGATTTGTTAAGATCATAGATCATGTCACTTTGACTTTTCTGCTAAATTGTTTCAATAGTTTCCATTTCTATTAGAACAATATTGGAACTACTTATCACAGCTTTATTTAGTTCATGGGTCCTCATTTGTTCTTCTGCCTCCCTCTCCAA